CCGCGTAGATTACGCACCGTATTCATAGATATTTTATTAATTACAATGAGTCTAGTATTAATTTAAAAGAAAGACTTTTTTTATTTAAGATTGTGGTGTTTGTAATGTCAATTAAATGATATTAAGTTTTTTTTAAATAGTTCAATTTTAGTGCCTGGAAGTCGGATTTTTTAAGTTTTGATTTTCCATTTTTAGTTTAGACGTAATAAGCAGGTAATTCGTAAGAAGAAAATTTTTAAATAGCATATTACATTAAGCAATTTATTTAAAAAATGATTTATTGTTGATTTATTAAAAAACAGCTAAACCGATTTCGGTAAAATTTAAATGGGACCACCTGGAAAGCATATGCTTCGAAACAAAAAAAATATTTTCCAAATCGGTTTAGGCGTCTTCGAGTAATTGGTGAACATACCTACATTAAAAAATAGACTCTGACGAATTGAGAACTTCCTCCTTTTCGGAAATCGGTTAATAATACCAAATAATGAGTATAACAAAAAAGTTAGTGTAACCTTTCAGGCAATTTTAATCTTTAACAAGCTTGAACGGCGAATTCGTTCGTGTAGTGGTGTTAAAATAGACTTTTCGTATAACTCTCCGCACTTGACCAGCGTGATAAACTATGGCCCTATCCCCCTCGTGTTGAAATGTGGTAAAATAGTTAGTTGTACAATTTCCGTTTATCAATGAAAACAAAACCCTAAACTAGTGGGGCTCTAAGGATTTTTACACGCATTGTACAGTGCATAATAATTCTTTGGGAATTAAAAACTTTAACTATAACATCGAGAACTCAAAAACCCTGGAGAAACAGATATCGGAAACTTTTATTATGAATTTTACTTGTTGATTCTTTTTTGTTTGATTTTGTTGATTGTTGATTGAAGTCTCAACTCTCAGCTAAAAAATATGTTTTGCTAGTGTTGTCTGCGTAAATAAAAAAATAAATAAAAATAGACCCATATTAACTTTTATTTAATAGTTATAATAATACTCTTTATTGTACGCTAAACAGAAAATACATACAGAAAGTATTGTAAAATAAAGATGCGCATTGCACATCTTTAATGCTGCTTAATAGAAAATATGATTAAAATTAAATAAACTATAATTTTAAATCTACTTTTTAGTCAACTAGTCCTACTTGCTGTGCCAGCGGCTGTGGGTTCGAGTCCCGCTGGGGGGATTCATTTGTGTGATGAGCACGAATATGTGTACTCCAGTCATGGATGTTTATATTTATAACATGTATGCATTTAAAGTTATATATGTGTAGTGTATCCAACTATCTGGTATCCATAACACAAGCCTTGTAGCTTGGAACTAGATGGTGCTGTGCGTTAAAGTCCCAACATATTTATTTATTATTATTTACTTACTTCAAAAAATCTTCTGATTTATTGGGTCGATTTTGAAAAATATATATATTTGGAAATGAGGAAGTTATTGTGATGCGTATACACACTTCAACAAACAGATACACAGACAAAAAATTCATAAGCTAAATACTTAATAACTATTAAAAAAAATTTAAATATCTTTAATGCCCAGGCACAAAGTTTACGGTTTTTTGTAGGTATACATATTATAGATTATAATAGATGTCAAATAAACACATAATGATTGTAGTTATACAATGATAACGATTTAAATTTATGTTATATACGTTCAAAATCTGTTCTATACATTGTCAACACAAAAGGTACTCGTCTCTATAGCTATATACTTAGCACAGACAACTATGAATAAAATTATCTATTACATATATTCGTTAATTTTAAACTTCTCCACTTCCGATTACTTTTAAATTTAGCAATGGTGTAGTGAATTATACGAAATGGTTATGAGTTTTAAATTGTGCGAGCATTATTGTGCAGGTGTAAATAAGTGGTGCTTACGTTCGAACTCTTACAATTTTATTATCATTTTATTTAAACAAATGACCCCATACCCTACACAACGACCATACAATGTTTTTTTTCAAAAAGTAGAGTCTAAGATAAAAAGAATGAGCATGCAGAGAAAATTGAATGACTTTTTTTTTAAATGTAAACGTCCACTTGAAGTTGGGGGTGATTTTCAGCCTCTCGAGACCATAAAAACATACTTTTCTCGGAAAATTTTTAAACATTTCAATTTATTTCACTTATTATGTGTATTTCGAAGATAACATTCCCTTAGTTTCATGACAGTCAAAAGATTATTATAGAAATTAAACATAAAATACCAAGAAAAAGTTAAAAACCGAGTTTTCTGCAAATATCTCGAAAAATTTGAGGTTATTGTAAAAAGTGTTATGTATAAAAGTTGTAAATTTTTATTAGACCTACAACTTTTGTAAAAAACATTTTTCGATAGAACGTCACAGTAAGCCGGAAATTGAAAAAAGCTATTTTTTAACGCTTTGCGTCCCCCCATTTCTCGGGGGTAGCTTGATATTGGAGGCATTTTACGAATTTCTATTCCTTATTTACCTGCTAATATTTTAAAATCATAAATCTTTAGGTTTTCTATATTTTGTTCCCAAACCAGATTCCGATTGTATTACAGGTAAAATAAGTTAGTTGTACAATTTTCGCTTATTAATGAAAACAAAAATCTGAACTATGGCACTATAAGATTTTTTACACGCAATTCATTGTCATTAATCAATCAATTAAGTGCATAATAATGCTTTGGGTATTAAAAACTTTAACTCTAACATCACTTTTTTTTAATGTTGGGAAATAGCATTTACGCATACCACCTGTAGACAAACAGGCGGTTATGTGGGCCTCGCCGGCTAGAAAAGCCAGTACTACCCACTAAAATCTAACAAATAATAATGGGACGTCGCAGGATCGCTTATACATTCAACCTCGAAGCCCCAACGGCAGGTCTGCCGATGCAAACCATAACAACCAAGGGGCTGCTCCACAGTCCACTCTGCTATAAGGGAAGTACGAGGAGCATAAAAATTGGTTATTATTTGTAATTTGAAGATAATATTCCCCTAGTTGCTTGTAAATTAAAAAAAAAACAAAGAAAAATTTAAAAACTGTTTTTGTGTAAATATCTCGAAAACTTTGTGGTTATTGTAAAAAGTGTTATGTATAAAAGTTGTAAATTTTTACTAGACATACAACTTTTGTAAAGAACATTTTTCGATAGAATGTCACAGTAAACCGGAAATTGAACATTTTATAACGGTTTGCATCCCTCCATTTTTCGGGGGTAGCTGGACAGCGGGGGCAGTATACGAATTTTTGTTCCTTATATACCTGCTAACGTTTTAAAGCCATAAAACTTCAAGTTTAAATTTTTTTTGTCTTAAAAATAAACGAATTCCCATCGCTCTAAAAGCATAAAACTATGTTTCTTAATAGTGGCTTACCCTCGCTTCGCTCGGGTGCTTCCTTCTAGGTACGTTTTGAATAGATATAAATAGTTATTGCGAGTGTACCTCAGAAAAAAAAACTTATGCTATTGTAGATTTTTCTGTAGGCCTTTTTAAGATCTACAATTTTCTTTCTTTCGCTAATGGCTATAGCACGATTCTATAGAACCGGTTATTGTGTTTTCCCGTGAGAATAAAGATTTTTCTGTATTATAAAGCATCCCAAATGTTGCTGCACAGAATTTGGTTAAAATCGGTTCAGTAATGTTTGAATGAAACACACAAACAGACTTACAGACATAATTTTGTTTTGGTTTCTATATTCTGTACACTATACGTTACACGGTTACAGTCATTGCTTTTAAAAAATATTTCATGTACAGATTTTGCTAAGTTACTGTTTTATTATATGTATATTTCACTAACACTTTTCCTTACACCCCCCTAAAAGAAAATAACATGCACTACCTAAACAGAATACAACTTAAACCAGCGATTAGAAATTCGAAACTGGATTTCTCAGAAAAATTGATAAAAATACTCGTACATAAAAATATGAGTATAGTAAATATATAGTTACAGTTAAAACCTGTTTTCTCTAGTTGAAACTAGTTTTTGCTGAATACCTTGGTTAAAATTAGAACTAACAGCTTGTTTGTTTGTAGTTAAAACATGGAAGAAAAGTACCTTAAATATCGAAGTTATCAAGATTTACTCAAAGGAAACATTTCTTTATTTTTAAAAATAATAATAATTGCATTGCATATTTATTTAAAAAAAAGCTTACCTGAACCGGGAATCGAACCAATTAAAAATGAAAAAAAAGGACACCGTCACTATTTTATCGAATTAATCGATAGGGTCATCGGGAAGGACAAAATCTCTCGAACAAACATTGCGTCTTAGAATTGAAGAAAACTATAAAATCTTACAAATTATACATATCGACTCTAACATCGTAAAACAAATGTGAATGACATGGAAGAAAAGTGTCCTAAACACTGAAAATATCGAGTTTCACTCAAAGGAAACATTATTTTATTTAAAAAAATAAGATTAACTGCATTTAATTTTTTTTAAAGACTGAAAATGCAAAAGTCACAATTTTTTTGAATTAATGGATAGAGTCTACAGTAAAGATGAAATCAGTTAACTATATTAATTTACTCCGTATGTTGAGTGTACATCTTATACTATATTATCACCTCGCGGTTAAATTTTAAGAAATTTGTTAACCGAGCCACCTGTGGCTCCGCGTGCTTTGAAAGGTTAAAAAGAGGCAGAGTTTGTTTGTTTGTTTGTTTGTTTGTTTGTTTGTTTGTTTGTTTGTTTGTTTGTTTGTTTGATTGACTGTCTGTTTGTTTGTTTGAACACGCTAATCCCAGGAACTATGAGGCTATAATCAAATAATATAGTCTATATATTCTATACTAATCCTTAAATCGCGGCTAGAGAGGACCCGAGCGAAGCGAGGGTGCGTCTTTAGTAAATAAATATAAGACGTAATAAAACGGCATGTTGGATTTTTTTAAAGTAATATATTTGAATGTTTTTCTTTACAAGGACACTCGTGCTCCTTATATAACCGAATCTAGTGCAACTGGAACATTTCGGGCATTTATGGTGGTGGGCATTTTCCAATGAAATCTTTTATCTGTGCGCAGTCATCTGTTTCTTCCCATTTCGGACAGTTCTGAAATGTTGATAATGTGAATGTAAATATACATCGTTAATAATTATATTAAACATAAAATATATTTTACGTATTACTCCCAGGTATACCTAATTTTGGATAACAATTAAAAGTTTGGTGTGTAAAATATATAATTGCTAAATAAATAAATAAAAAATAAGTTGTGACATTAACACACAGCGCCATCTAGTTCCATGGTAAGCTACGAGGCTTGTGTTATGGATACCATATAGTTCATACACTACACATATATAACTTTAAATACATAAATATTATAAATATAAACACCCATGACTGGAGTACTAACATTCGTGCTCATCACACAAATGAATGCCCCCAGCGGGACTCGAACCCGCGACAGTAGGCACAGCAAGTACAAACTGAGCCAAACGTGTCGTCTAAGCTAAAACAGAATTGTTTATCGACGCCTTAGTGTTTATTTTCTCTATTTTTAAAACAAAGCTTTATTCCTAGGATTTATATACATCTTATAGATATATATATAGATGAATCCCTATTTCCCTTGGTCACGCCATCACGGTTGGTCGGTTTGTGACGTTGTAGGCTGTAATCTCTGCATCTACTGAACCGATATAGATGAAATTTGGTAAGAAGATAGTTTAAAACCCTGGAAAGAACAGAGGATACTTTTTATCCGGGAAATCATCCCGTAAGGGAACGAAAATGGGGATGATAGTTTGTATGGGGAATCAACCTAGAGACGAACCCTTGTGAAGCGAGGGTGAGTCGATAGTAATAGATGAAATATAAATATAATCTTTTCTTAAAAAAAATACTAATAGAATTGACATTTAAAAGTCAATCACTACTAATAATTATAAAACAAAGACCTCGGCCGCGTCTGTCTGTCTGTTCGCGATAAACTCAAAAATTATTGCACCAATTTTCATGTTGTTTTCACCAATGGATAGAGTGGTTCTTGAGGAACGTTTAAGTATATAATTTGTTAAGTTTTTGTATACATTGGCTAAAATAAAACAATATTTGTTAGAGGTGTTGATGATCTGTCAGCCAGAGAAACTCCAAGCATCGCGCGTTTCATTGCTCGCTGAGCGATCTTGAATTTGTGGACCAGCCTTTACGGTGAGTGTCCACGTTTCGGTTCCGTATGTCATTACGGGTAGGACGCACTGGTTAAATACCCTGGTCTTAAGGGATTGTGGAATAGATGATCTATTCCATATTATAACATAAACATAAATTTATAATCATTTATACGTATCGAGCAGTTCATTTATAAATCAATATGTTTTATCATGTGTAAGTAAAGTAAAACTTACTCTATATATATAAGCAAGAATACATAATGATATTTTATTAGCCTCGCACATATTTGGTGGACCCATCAGTTCTCCGTTAATACATTTATTTTTAGTTATTTCAACAGCATCTTTAAAATCTACATTAATCTCAGCCCATTTGTCCAAGAACGCAGCGATAGCAGCTTTGTCTATAGTATTTTCGTCTTTCATTAGATTGTTCTTTTGCAATAAACATATTTGTTTATCACACTGAAAAAAAAACGGTATACAGTATATTAATTAGTAATTGAGCTATTAAAACTTTCTAACTACTTACTAACTAAAGTCCATACTTAATATTATTAATATAAAAGTTTGAGGATAATGGATATTATATATATATACACCTTTTTATGTATTGTGATTGAATCTTCAGCTGTGATTCATTTTAGTTTATAATAAACGATAATGAGCAACATTTTTACTTAATATTTTTTAGTAAAAAAATATAATTTAAAAAAGAAAAAGTTAATAATATCTTTATAACACATACATCAGGTGGTCTCGGTTTTGCGTCTCCATCATTCATAACTGGTTTCTCTATACCACAGGCCTTAAAATCCTCGTCTTTATATATTGTTGGCATATTGCAGCATTTTAAAGGATTTTTCTAGAACATAGGAATGAATACCATTAATTAAAAATAATGAATTATTAAATTACTTTCGCTTTTAATATACAGTTTAATATTCATTTAATATTATGAATGTTATTGAAATATCAAATATAGCTTTAATTTAAACAAGAGTGAATAGTCTACTTTATACACTATGGAAAACTATATTTTTTGCAAAAAGGCCTATTCTATATTTTTTACCAGATAAAATTAAAATGACCAAAAAAAACTAAAATATATGTAAATATCCTATTAATATTCGATAGATGGCAATGACTATAGTTTTACAGATAGCACTCATACAAGAAGAAAAAAACATAATAATTTAATGTGTCCTCGTAAAATTTACAACTTTTTATTTAAAAATCTTTAGAAAAAATTATTGCTTAAAAATTTACTTACCACATTGTGCCACGATCTTTTACAATTATTATCGGATGGTGGTTCTAACGTCTGTACCTGAAATGATAAATTTATTTGATAAAGCTGAAATTTTCATTATATACATAATTCTTTTTTATAGATTATGAATTTAATGACTATTAATATATCTTCTATCACAAATGGTTTTAAAAGAAAACTTGAATCTTATATATCAAAATAGAGAAAATGATTTTCTACTAAGAATATGTAATCTTGTAATGCTGAAGCATAATTTACAATTTTGTATGTAAAATATGTTTACTGGGTACTGAATAAAATATATTTATACTCCTTACTTGCAGAACTGTCAAACAAAATACAGCTATCCAAAGCATGACTGATGCCTCAATGGTTACTGTGTAGTTCCATGCAAAGGAACTAGGTTTTATACTCAGCAATTATTACCAGCTATTGTGCGCTACGGGAAATCATCAAAGTGTCGCACTCCGTAGATTACGCGCCGTATTCATAGATGTCTTATTAATTACAATGAGTCTAATATTAACTTAAGAGAAATACTTTTTTTATTTAAGAAGGTGGATTTTGGAGTGTCAATTAAATGATATTAAGTTTTTTTTAAATAGTTCATGTTAATATTTTGAATAATAAATAGTGAATAAAAACTTTAAAAAAAACTTCGACTTCCAGGCACTAAAATGTAAAAAATAAATAAACGGGGGTTTCATTTAGAATAGATACCTAATCATATACTTTCCAAGTCGGTGCCAGCCGATGATAAAATCTAATATAATTCGATACGTAAAATACATCACAAACTGATGTATAATATTTTAACTATAATTAGAGTTCATACCTAATCATATTTACCTGCCTTGGTGGAGTAGTGGCTAGCATGTACGGCTGCACACCCAGAGGTCCTGGGTTCGAGTCCCGGGTCGGGCCAAGTTTAGTTACTGAGTCTTTCTCTATAGTAAGCCTCAGTAACAGCCCGGAGTTGGGAAGTTGGCGGTGTTTCAGCCCCGTGCCTCGGAGAGCACGTAAAGCCGTCGGTCCTGCGCCTTAACTCTCCACCAGCCGTGTCGAGCAGTCGTCCCACCGGAGTATGAGAGTAACAGGAATAGAGAGTGCACTTGTGTCTGCGCGTACACTTGTGCACTATAATATCTCCTGCGCAGTTGGTTCGTCTCATTGAGATTGGCCGCCGTTGCCGGAATCGGTCAGGAGAACATCATCATCATCATCATCATATTCACCTGTTAGACATTTATATTTTAAAATATTGTCGGCTTTATTATTTTTCCATTTTTAGTGTAGACGTAATAAGCAGGTAATTTGTTAGAAGAAAGGTTTTTTAATAATATATTCGAGTAAACAATTTAATTGAAAAAATAATTTATTGTTGATTTTTTTTAAAACCGCTTGACCGATTTCGATAAAATTTAAATGGAACTACCTTGGAAGTATACGCTTCGAAACAAAAAAAATATTTTCCAAAACGGTTCAGGTGTGTTCGAGTAATCGGTGAACATACATAAAAAAATATTCTGTTGAATTGAGAACGGCCTCCTTTTCGGAAGTCGGTTAATAATGCCAAATAATAAGTAAAACAAAAAAGTGAGTGTAACCTTTTATGCAATTTTATTCTTTAATGGTGAATTCGTTCGTGTAATGGTGTTAAAATAGACTTTTCGTATAACTCTCCGCACTTGGCCAGCGTGATAAACTACGGCACTATCCCCTTCGTACTGAAATGTGGTAAAAAGTTAGTTGTACAATTTCCGTTTATCAATGAAAACAAAACCCTAAACTATGGGGGCTCTAAGGATTATTACACGCAATATTTTCTTTGATTTACGCGAATATTTGACATTTTAAACAAAACTATCTTGTCGGATTATCTCGCGGATTTATTTTGTTTTTTGGTTCCCGATGTTTCGAATGCTTTTCAGCAATCATAGTCACGGGAGAGACTGAGGTTATTGACGTCTCAAAGGCATTATACATTTGTCTCAGACAGTGCCCACACACTATTTTACAAAAATGATTTCAAAAATTCAAAAATGGCACCAAACTACCTTATTTGATGATTTTTATTTCTAAACATTTAAAAAATATATAATTATTATAATGAAATATAGCAATATTGTACATTTAATATTAGCTGTTATTATTATAAATATTAGTTTTTTTTAAAACTTTATTTTTTACTAATATTTTTTAATATTGCTAAATTATTTATTTAAGCAACGTTATTGTTTTATATGTAATTTAAAAGAATTTAAAATATTGATTTAGATTGCTATTATTTAAAGTTAAAATATTAATCAACACTGCTGCTACCTTTATAGACAAAAAATATTAATCAGAATTACAGTTATTATTTTGATCCACACTGTATGAACTAACTACATCTACTGGTCTGTCATATTTGTTTATGTTGTTAAATTGTATTATGTTTTTGTAGGTATACATATAGATTATAGGTGTCAAATAAACACATAATGATTGTAGTTATACGATGATAACGATTTAAATTTATGTTACGTGTATATACGTTCAAAATCTGTTCTATACATTGTCAACACAAAAGGTACTCGTATCTATAGCTATAGGTATACTTAGCACAGACGAATATGAATAAAATTATCTATTACATATATTCGTTTAATTTTAAACTTCTCCACTTCCGTTTACTTTTAAATTTAGTAATGGTGCGGTGAATTATACGAAATGGTTATGAGTTTTAAATTGTGCAAACATTATTGTACAGGTGTAAATAAGTGGTGCTTACGTATGAACTGTAACAATTTTATTATCATTTTATTTATTTTGGGAGTGTCGACTGTTTGTTTATGACCTATGAAAAGAGATTAAATGTTTATAATATTATAAATATATTTTATAAATAATATTTTCACGATAACTTGTACTATGCACGGAGGCAGCTTCTAACTGATTAGTTAGTTGCCAAAAGACAAAAACAGCACCTTATAAATGTCGCCATGTTCGTTTGTCCGTATGTCAGACATTTTACTCAGAGACGAAGTTATATACTCTTCCTGACAGCGGCGAAGTCTTTTTATTCGTATGTATGTCAGATCGGTTGTTCCGTCGTAATTAATAAACAGCTGAATCGATTTTAAGTATTTATACGTCGTTAGAATCTTGATAACGCGAGGGTTATAGGCTATATGGATATTAATAAAATCAGAATGGCAAATTCCAGATACCATTTTGTTTGTCTTGAAAAACTAAAATAAAAAAACCCGACTGCATAACAAGTATCTAAACCAAAAAGAAAGCGGCGAATGTGATGAAAAAACATACATATAGTCCAATCAAAATAGACAATTTAATTTACAATAATCCGCATTGAGCTGATATATAAATAGTACAGATTTTACCTAGACTATTACAAATAAAATATAATAAATCCCCAGCGATCTTACATCTACTAAAAATTATTTCGAAGTCAAAGGTCAAAAATATAGGTTTTTTGCATTTTTCTGGTAAGCAGTAAGTGTTCTTATAAAAATAGGTCAGACAAAAATATTTATGTGCATACATGTAAAAACATGGAACAAGGAAAATCTTGCTGCGAATAATCATGTCCAAAACTGTGACAAAATTTTACTTAACAATTGAATGAATGTTAACGCGGTGTAATAAGCATGTAATGATCTTCGGATGTCTTCGAGGCGTCATGCCTGGTGGTTCATGGTCATACTTGTAGGACGTTTTGGCTGACAATTAATACATGTCTATTGCTAAATAATGTTAACTATTTACAACAGAAATCTGTCTATTATTACTTTGCCTACAACTAAATGCCTCTACACAGGGCAACCGTGCGGGTCGTACTTGGTGAGATAGTGTTGACTGTTGAGGCACTCCCGATTGCCATACCGTCGTAGTGTAAGCTAGTGCAATACTTGCTGTACTTTACAGTAGAGAGTTTTTTTCCTCTATTTTAAAAACAAAGATTTATTTCGAAGATTTATATAAAATACATTTTTTGACTTCTTAAAGTAAAATGTGTATTTTATACTAACAGAATTAACATTTAAAAGTCATGAATTATGTATTAAAAACTCTTTCGGTGAATTGGTCATTCGCGCTTGGAGAATAGAGCACTAAGAGGCTTGACAAAACGCACTTTTACAACAAGTACAACTGTAACTTGCCACGAGATGGCACTACAACGCTTTAACTTCAAAACCATTCGCATTAAAAGATGGTATTATTTAGAAAGTTTTTAAATTTAAGGTTGTGTGGATTTTTATAGTGTGGTATTATTATAAAGTCTCTTTATAACACGTTTAGACTTACCTAAGTACGAGAAACGAGTCCAATTTACATTACATTACGTTCAGATTTTTAGACGTATCTACTTCACGCAATAGTGTCAGAATGTACATACATATATTGTACTAGCGAATCACCTTTTCGCTCGGGCTCGTCCCTAGGTTATTTTTAACGGTTAGTAGGTATAGATGGACTATATATACATACATAGGTATAGAAAAGTAGGCAAGTAATTAAAAATAAATAGAAATCATCCCCTATTTTACCATGATTGGTCCTAAACGCTGCAATATTCTATATTTCTTGCCAAAATTATGATGATGATGTTCTCCTGACCGATTCTTGCCACGGCGGCCAATCTCATTGAGACTAGCCAACTGCGCGGGAGATATTATAGTGCATAAGTGTACGCGCAGACACAAGTGCACTCTCTATCCTGTCACTCTCATACTCCGGTGGGACGACTGCTCGACACGACCACTGAGAGCTAAGGCGCAGGACCGACGGCTTTACGTACTCTCCGAGGCACGGGGGTGAAACACCGCCAACTTCCCAACTCCGGGCTGTTACTGAGGCGTACTATACAGAAAGGCTCAATAACTAAACTTGGCCCAACCCGGGACTCGAACCCAGGACCTCCGGGTGTGCAGCCGTATATGCTAGCCACTACACCACCGAGGTAGTATGCCAAAATTAAATGATACTAGCGACTAATACTCGCTTGATTCCCGATACAAACTTTCATCTCCATTTTCATCCCGTTAAGGGATGATTTCCGAGATAAAAAGTATCTATGTCCTTCTCAGGGTCTTAACCTATCTTCTTACCAAATTTTATCTAAATCGGTTCAGTAGATCCAAAGATTACCCCCTATAACGTCACAAGCTCACAAACTTTACCTCTTTATAATATTAGTATAGATAATAAATTTTTGTCCTTAACTCGGGAAATGATTGATCCCCATACAAAATTCCATCCCCCTTTTCACCCCATTATGGGATGATTTCTTGGATAAAAACTATTCTGTCCTTCCCAAGGTCTCAAACTATCTCCATACCAAATTTAATCTAAACCGGTTTAGCGAATAAGGCGTGAAAAGGTACCAGACAGACAGACTGTTACTTTCGCATTTATATTATCAGTATGGATATTGCTGCGGCTGACAATAAGACTATATTGAATCACCATGGTCCTTTTTTCCCTGGGATAGGTTTGTTTTTGTTTTCGAAAGATCAACAAATCTTCCCCATTAGATGACAATAAAATGAAGGTAAGTTGTGACTTGTGAGCGCTATATATATTCATATAACTATAACACATTATTTGACGTATACTCATTATAGATCTTCAAATTTCTATCCAATAGAAATTATTTATTTGCAGAAACTTTCTTCGCTCAGGTGCGTCCCTAGGTACGCGGAACTCGTTCACAATTTAATGAGTTTTAATTGTATTTGTGCATAACCATAATTCTATTTCAAAAATAAAAGTATATAATAAGCCTAAGTTAGTCCTTATAACATCAGCTATCTGCCAGTGAAAATCCCGTCAAAATCGATCCAGCCGTTTTGGAGGCTAGCCGGAATAAACAGACAGACAGACAAAAAAATTGAAAATTGTTTTTGTCTTATATGTACCGTATATACTTTCATATATATTTCGTAAAAAGCTGTTATTTTGACATTACAAACAGATACTTCAATTTTATGTGTCTGTATAGATTATGCAGAAAAAATGGCTTTGTCATGATGAATCATTGTTGACCAACAAATAATGCAATGAGGAAGAATTTTGCCTCTTTCTACCGCCAGATGTCACGTTCACTATGATCCTCAGTAGGTATATTGTAAAGCTCTGTAGCGTGGATGGATTTTATTTCATTTTGTTTAAAATTTAATTAAAATGACAAATTGTGCAGTGTCAGGATGGATGATCATTTGTTTCCAAAAGAAAAAAAAAAGACTTCAAACAAAAGCACTAAAAAGTAAAAAATAACTGATTGGTAGTTTTCGTTTACTATACATACCTAATCAAATATTTACGAAGTCGGTGTGCTTTGCTTTGTATGGGCTGGCACCAATTTCGAAAATATTTGATTAGGTATGTATTGTATTGTATTCAGCCTTTTTCAACGTCCCACTGCTGGGCACGGGCCTCCCTTCAATACGAGGGGGATCAGGCCATAGTCCACCACGCTGCCCAAGTGCGGGTTGGCGGTATGTATAGTAAATGAAAACTACCAATCAGTTATTTTTTACTTTTTAGTGCTTTTGTTTGAAGTCGGTTTTTATTTTTTTGTTAAAAAGTTTTTATTTTCCCCTTTTTAGTGTAGACAGTAGTAGCAAAGTAAGAATTCTAACGTGTTAGGCTTGTCAAATCAAACAAAATAAGCCCAAACTCAAAGTATCTACTATTAGCCGTTGAAGAGTTCCACCTATCCACCTTCTGGCCCCTTACCATCAGATCAGGTCAACAATACTGAACCACTGTAGTTTCAACGGAAATAGAAATACTTGCAAAGTTTCAAGTAAATATGACAATTAGAAGTAGGTTAAATTCATCATTAGCTATTTTTCCACCCTTAGGGGTGGTATTTTTTTTTTGAAATTTAAATGGGACCAATTTGGAAGTATACACTTTCAAACAACACAAAAATTGTCCAAATCGGTTAATAAATGACAGAGTTCTGAGGTAACAAACATAAAAAAAATACAGTCGAATTGAGAACCTCCTCCTTTTTGAAGTCGGTTGATGAAGAAATTGTGAGCTAAAGCAATAAGATGACTAAAATTGACAAATCACAATCTTTATGTTTAAGGCTATGTGGACATCATTTTACAGTCATCACATCACACCACATCATTTTAAACTCTTAAATCTAAAAAAGAAATATATTTAAGGAAAAATAAAATGTTCAATATTTCCGAAAGTTGTATAAATTTTAATTAAATTTTGTACTTTTTTAATTACTTTGTTACATGGAACAATGAAGTACTAAGATTAACAGTCATCAATACGTTCTTTTAATTTTTGGCATAAATCAGTTTCTTTCCAATTCGGACATTTCTGGAATGTAAAAACAAACATTAGCAATAAATTCATAATATTTTTACTTATTTGTATTGGTATCTTATAGATGCATTACATTTTTAAGACAACTGTATTTTTAGATAATTGTTTACATGAAAATGTTTAAATGTTTAAACTATCATATGTCTAATACAATTAATATAGATTATGGCATAAGATAAGACAGGGCTACACTATATACATGTAAATTAAAGACTACTTTTAATGAAGGATTTCTAGAGATCACTACCTCAACCAAGGCTTTTGACAGAAAAACTTGTAACTTTGGAATCATTCCCAATTGGGAAAATTTTGAGTCAATCTTTACTGTTTGTAAAATGATTACAATAACTTAAACTGTCGACTACTAAAATATTTTTATAAAATGAGCATAATACAAAACTTACGTCATATATAGCGGTTACAATGCAGTAGATTAGTTTATTGGCCTCGCATAATCCTTTCGGCCCTGGCAGGATTTCCTTAATGCATTTGTTCTTAGCAAATTCAATTCCATTTTTTAATTCTTCATTACCACCAGCCCATGTGTCTATATAGGCAGTGAAAGCTTCTTTATCTACAATGGTGTCATCTTTCATAAGGTTGTTTTTCTTTAGTAGACATGTTTGTTTCTCACACTATATAAAAATATACTTCATGTTATTTTAAAAATAAACGAATTTATTTTAAGTTTTACTTGCACGAGATAATTTTAGTTTTTTATTTGTACTAACAACTTACAGGTATATCAAATGGTCCAGTTTCTAGGATTCCATCCTCATCTAATTTCCGTTCTATACCGCAATCGCTATAATCCTTGTCTTTATACAGTGACGGAATTATGCAGCAACTCAAAGGATTTTTCTAAGAAAATATATGATTTCTTTTATTATTTACATATATATATATATATATATTTGTTTTTTATTGTATATAAGTGAATAAAAAACAGTTAGAACGTCTAATTTTTGATAGCTCTTAAAATCTCCATATTATAGCTCTCAAGAAAACGCAAATAAGGAGAAATGAGGTAGCAGTATATGCTACAGCTATTGTAGCATCAGACTATTAAAACTTTGGTTTATATTTACCGGTATGATAAACGACTGCCTGCATTTTGAAGGAAGGGATGTTTCATCACTTTTTACCTGAAATGATAAAGTTTTAAGTAAAATATTACTCATTCGCTCATTAGTTCATTTTTGAATTCAACAATGAAAGCCTTATGGCAATGATGGGATAATTTTTATAGGAATCTATAAATAAAGCCATAAAAAAATCGAAAAAAAAACAATCCCTAAATTGGTCTGTGGTATATTTTTGCGTAGTAAAAGCTTGAAGGTACCGATACAATTTTTTTTTAATACACAAAGTAGTTTTACTTTCAGAGTACTAACAGAATAATATTTCTTATTTATATTTATCTTCTTATTTATATGGGTCTACGTCGCGAGTACACTTTCGAAATTAATACGGATTAATGAGAATAGTAACAATCCATACTAATATTATAAATGTGAAAGTGTGTTTGTTTGTTTGTTTGTTTGTTTGTTTGTTTGTTTGTTTGTTTGTTTGTTTGTTTGTTTGTTTGATTGATTGTTTGTTTGTTTGTTTGTTTGTTTATTTGTTTGTTTGTTTGTTTGTTTGTTTGTCTTTTTTCACGTCGAAACGGAGTGACAGATTGGCTCAATCTTTTGTGTGGTGATTGTTGGAGGGCTGGAGAGTGACATAGACTACTTTTTACTTGAAATTATCTCATTCCTAGGGACCTAGGGAGGAAAGGAGGGATTTTGGAAAGTAACAACTAAGACATCAAAAGAAATATATCTATAGGTACATATAATAAAATTGTTACTAAGTCGAATCTGTACATTAAATATTTTTTGAAAAATCTAATTGAAATAGACATTATTATCGATACAGAGTCCGAATCTATAGTTTTTCAAATTTTTGTCTGTCTGTCTGTCTGTTACCGCATCACGAGAAAACCACTGGACAGATTTTGATGAAATTTCGTACGATGATAGCTGGTTATCAGGGTCAACATATAGGATACTTTTTACCGCGGGAAAATATCTCATTTCTGAGAAAAAATACAAAAACTGCATTGTAAGAATATACTAATATATAAAACCTAAGAATTTGGTTTTTGGTCATCTGCACGCGGGCGGAGCCGCGGGCAATGCTAGTAATTAAATAAAACATATAATAAAATACTCATATATAGTTATCTAGATAACACGTTCACGTTCTAGAACGTGGAATTTCGTAATTTCTTTTTCTTAATTTAGAATTCGTATAAAAGATTTCAAAATTTAAAATTATAAATAATATTATGCTCAATAAGCTCATATATCCACACGCCTTACCTGTAGTACAAACAAACAAACTAAAGCGATTCGAAGCATGATGATTGAGACACCACTGTAGTCGTGCCGGAGAAAAATTTGGTTTTATATTTAGTGACGACGACCGGCTTTTGAGGGCTTTGAAACTATCAAGGTTTTATATGCCATAGACTACGCTATTTACAGATATTTTAACCACGATGCCAAAAAATGAGGGTTCTTAAGTTTGATGTGTTCAGGTGCTTAAAGTTATTTTATTGATAGTAAATTTTTTAGTAAATAACCTAAGACATGACGACAAATTACAGTTATATAACAAAACAAGAAGTCTAAATGACTACTAAGCGTTTGCTTAACGGTGCTGTGTCACAAATTAAATGGAAATAAAGACCTAAATTAATACTAATTATAATCAATCGGTTCCTTATGTTTTTAAACGTGTTTGCTAAAAAGGTAAGAAATTTGAAATTTACAAACATTTTTATTCTTTGCAAATGACTGATTTAAACACATATTTTAAAGCATTTTTTTTAATTAGAGATAGAATGATGTAGCATTATATATTCGTAATGTAAATCAGCCAATGTTGATTCGCCAAATTAATATGTATGCTTTGGTTTTTTAAACGAATAAATAGAAAATACAATAGTATATAATTAATTTGCAACTCATTATTGTTTAACTTTTCATATATTTTAATATTAGTTTACCTACAGTATCATTGAAATACTTAACCTATTTAACCTACCATACCATACGTATTTGACTGGAAAGAAATAAGCCACCCATTTCTATCAGAATTTAAAGCTCAATATCATGTTAATTATAAAAAAAACGTGATAGAAAAAATTAAACTGAAAGAAATTCGTTTTTTTTTGTTGAGGTAATGAAATTAGATTAGCCGTCTTTTATCACAAAAAGTACAAAAGCTGTCTTTCCTATGTCTTATCTGTCGTAAGAACTTGGGGTAATATACAAAATAAATAAATAAATATAACCCCTAGGATTTAGTCATACTTCCTCTCTCTCTCTCCCTCTTCCTCTCTGATTCAGCCTTTTACGTCCCACTTTTTTTAATATGAAAAGCCAACAATAATCATTAAAACCCGACGGAACCTTCCCCGTCTAAGTCGGGCGCTGCAGGTTCACTTATGCTCTTAACAACGACGAACCCCTACCGCTGGCCTTTCAAGGCAAACTTCGTCCCGTCCCCATCAAGCCCAGGGGGTTGTTTTCATGGTCCACTCTGCTATTAGAGAAGTACCAGAAACAACCTATACTTACCCTACCAGTAGCACTGACCCCCCGATCGTATCAGGTATGGTCTAGAAAATGCATGACTTAATTATATGTATTTAATACTTTCTGTTTCACACTGTTAGAAAATATTCTTATTAATGTATACCCTGCAGGAAGGCGTCTCTACAAAATAAGTAATATACTAATACTAGCAGTACCCGCGGCTTCGCCCGCGTCCAAACTTCCGATCGCTAATAAAATTCAAAGGTTCACCCGCTGGGATTATCTAAAGATTACCTGAAAATTTCATTAAAATTGCTCCAGCTGTTTTGGAGTCCATAGAAAACATACATACACACACCGATTTTTATTTTATTTAATAAACAATTTAAATTTATTTAGTGCTCGGAAAATGGAGTCTTTTATGAAAATTGAGTGACACACCGACTGCAGCACCACCTATCGGGTTCAATTGTGTTTTCAAACCATTCAGTAGCCCGTTGAAATATACACACAAAATTTCATCCAAATCGGTCTAGCCACACTGTTAACAAACACACGTACAGAAGAATTACATATATTGAGACATAATACACAAGCTGATGAACTAATAATTTACATATATACCTAACTATAATTGATCACTTTAAAAGTAATATGTTCAACTTTCAGGAGAAGGCGTTGGAGAGGCGAAGGAAAAGGTTTCTTGAAAGGGACGGTTCAAAAAAAAGGAAAATAGGTTTATAATTATTGATGAAATTGGGTAACATAACACACAAATAAACAACAGCGTATTCAAAATGGAGTACTTCCGTCTTTTTATAGACCGGAAAAAAATATGTTACGTTAAATATACATACCTATATTAAACCAACACAATAATATGTATAATTGATTGAAATGCTAACGAATAAGTATATATGTTGTGATTGTCAGATGGCTTAAGACGTCATGCCCGGCGTCTCAGGGTTATAAACGAATCTAACAATAAGTACAATGACTTATTGGTGTATAGCTTTTTTTACTCACTTATAGCTATTACTACATATGGCGTCTTATTTATAAAAAATTATATGTATATCTGTGTACAATGCCTTAAAACTTAATATTATTTTGAAATGTATATGTTATGCTTATTTCGGTCCTTAAACAAGTTTTATTTGTTAGATTGTAGGTGTTACGGCTATTTACATTAAAGTATATTAGTATTAAGACAGTGGTAGCCCAGTGGTAACGCGCCCGCTTGGAAAACCGAGGGAAGCGAGTTCAAATCTCGGGTCTCGCACCTCTGATATTTTCATGTGCGAATCATTTCCAATATGATTACAATTTGTCTTACGGTGAAGGAAAACATCGTGAGGAACTGCATGTCTGAGAGAATCTAGCAAGTTTTCGAAAGACATGTGAAGTCCGCTAACTAACTTGACCAGCGCGGTGGACTACGACTTGATCCCCCTCGTACTGAAGGGAGGCCCGTGCCCAGCAGTGGGACGTTAAAAAGGGCTGAATACATACATACAAATTAGTGTTCGCAAAGTGGTCGTAATTCGAATATAATAATTATTGAAAATTTAAGGAAAACATATATGAATGAGATTTATTTATATAAAAAAGACTAACTGTTTTCATTTTTTTTATTAACAACACTAAAGCTCGTCAAGTGCTACTTTACAAAAAAAAATAAGAAACTCGGTTGACAACAGAGAAGAATAAAAACTTAAAAAAATAAAAAACCGACTTCCAGGCACAAAAATGTAAAAAATAACTAAACGGGGGTTTTCATTTAGAATTTGAAGAAAAATCTAAAGTTTTATTTATTTTACTTAACAAATTGTAAATTTTCATATGAAAATTTTGGTCTTGAATACGACTTGGATTTTTAATCTGTCTATCTATATAAATAAAAATGAATCACCTAAATGTATGTACGCGCATAACTTCCGATCGACTGCACCAAATTGATAATTCTTTTTTTTGTGTTTATTATTGTCAGGACAAGTTTTGTATATAAGAAAATTAAAAGAAAAAAATTTACTAAAATAAGTTTTTTTTAAATCTAATGATATTATGAAAAGTGAGTGAGTGAAATAGTTTTTATCCCGGAAATCATTCCTTAAGGGGGTGAGAATGGGGATGAAAGTTTGTATGGGGAAGCAAGCTAGACGAACCCGAGCGAAGCGAGGGTGAGTCGCTAGTTTTATTCTAATTTTAAGATGGTGCTATGACGTTATTATTTTCCCGCAGGACATTACGATTTTTCTTTGGTATTGCTATTTTTATTACTATGTGATGAATTAAAATTACAATAACTAAAAACACTTTTGACAAAAATATCCTTTTATTTTATAAAAGCAGTTTACTATGACTTCATAGAGTTGCTTTTTATAATAGACTAGGCGGTAGGCTGATTTTGAATGGATGTCTTTTGATTGAAATAGCTCAGTTATATTACTAGAAGGTAAGACTCATGTTTTCTAAATGTAACAGTCCAGAAATATGTATTAAAGTTTAATACATAGTAACTTTAACTTACACCCTAAACGCTATTGTTTTAACACATATAATTAAGAGCTATTTTAAAGTACGGCACGTACCTACTAAATATAATATCGTGATATACATATGTATAAGTAAATATACACGTACATGCTTATGTTCATATTTTTTTTGTTTTGAGATTCAGGTGGTGTTTAGGTTGTGATATTATGGCGGCCATAAAATATCTTGTCATGTTTGAGTTGGTTGCGTTTTTCTTAGCAAGTATTGTAATCCTAAAACATTATAGCTAACAATGAAGATATAATATGCATGTTGTAATAAATAACTTAACAAGTAACAGCTCACAGCATTAAAACGCTAGTCTGATGATAGAGAATGGCCAGAAAAAAATAAAAAAAAAAGCAAAAAAGAAACGGTTTGATTTGATCTTAAGATATTTGTTTTGACATATGTATTTGTTTGGATGACGTCTATAGTCTGATTATTTAGCTAGAAGGTGAACTTAATCACTTTACAACGGAGTTAAATAACCACGAGTTGTATTCACCAAAATATTTGCAAAAACTTTAAAAAAACCCGACTTCCAGGCACGTAAGTGTAAGAAATAACTGAACGGGTTTTCATTTAGAATAAATACCTAATCAGATATTTTCGAAGTCGGTGCCAGCCGACGCATAGAAAATCTAATATATTTTGATACTTAAAACACATATTTACCTATTAGATATTCATATCTTAAAATATTGTCCGCTGACTCTGTCTGTCTTTCTAAATCGGACAGTTCTGAAATTTTAGAAATAATATATAAAGTAATACATCTGCACATTGCAGATATCTTCTATCCAATTATTACCTAATATGTTTTCGGATGCCTAAAAATATACATATAAATTAAAAAAAAAACAAAAAACATTTTTATACGTAAAGTATTTCTGTATAAAAGTTTAAAATTTTGCGCACTGAAGAAAATGCGTACCTACACAAACATACTACTAACTTACTACGACTATACTCGTATATTTCTGTACAAAATATGACCTCGAATTTTAGTTTAAATTTCATGCGCAAATCTGACTCACTCTTAGTCATTTTTGGACTTCATTAATTTAATAAAGTATTCTTTTTCATTAAAATAATAAGTTGGATTTAAGCTGTATTTATTTAGATGTTATTATTTATTATTATTAAATTAATTAATTAATAATAAATTATATATTTTATATTATTTATTTATTTAACAGTTTAAAAGGGATGGAAACCGACTCAAAGAGGGAAAATTGGGAGAAAGAACGACTGCTTTACGTGCTCTCTAAGACCACACTCCTCGTGTACCACTCCACCAAATTCGCAACACCTGGCTGCTTCTAAAATCTTCTTAGAAAGGCCCAACTCATCCGTAGACGTACGTACATGCTAGGCACTAACATGAGGTATGTTGTAACACAATGAGGTAGTTGGACTTAGTGATAGGGTTTCGTTTGTATCCTCTGAGTTCAAAACTTTAAAATAATATTTTTGTGATTTGTGATATAGTTATAGAGATGAAGTTAAAACTTACCGAATATATAGTAACGCTAGTACAATATATGAATATATTAGGCTGGCACAATTTATAAGATGTGGAAAGAGTACAGAGATCCCTTTTAAAGGTAATGTATTTCAAACCCTATAGGTTCCCTACAGTCACCCTCTACAATATTAGCAATCTCTTATCCGTTAGACAGTTATATATCCTTAACCTAACTTTACAATGCCACAAGTCACTCCCTTTTGATCATCATATACAAAATAAAAGGAGAAATGACATAGTAGCTCCATATCACCATGTCCGCACGGTCTTCGCCAAACGGCAATATGCTGTTCAGTCTGCTTTTGTGTACAATAAAGTTAACCGTATAATTAAAATTTATGCTATGAAATTGCACAGTTGTAAAAATCATTTATAGAATGGTTGAGTACCCTTATTTACGAGGAAGTTGAGGACCTCATAACTAATATGAGGACCTTCCTAACCACAACCCATAACCTGCAATGATATACTTATATGTGGACTCGTAGATCCGATCCCAAGGAGCTCATGCTTCCGTAGGGCATACAGGCATATCTACACTCACATTCACTCTCACACACACTCTCTTAAGCTTACACCCACACCCACGTATACATACACGCACGCACGCATCCAGACACGCACGCACGCACGCAAACACGCGCGCACGCACGCACGCACAATTACTACTATTATTATTATTACTTAACTTCATTTATAATGTACATAGCTAAAATAATATATTATCTATAACTTGTATTCTTTACTAATATATATATATATATATATATATATATGTATATATATATATATATATATATATATATTATATCGATTAGTTCATCTTGATGTTAAAGCGAATGAAACTGTTATTGAAAACTAGCTTACGAAGACTTTGTTTATGTCTAGGTGTTCTACTCACATGTACTTACCGTTAAAATAGTAATTTCCTAACATTATAAAATAAAACTAGTGCAATTCTACTGGCAAAAACAACCTTCAGTTGTTAACATTGTAATTTTGTATATTTTTCTTTGCATTAAATCACTTTAATCTTGTAACTATCCTAGTATCCTATATTAGTATTATATAGTTTATAAAAAAATATCACCCACTTAATCATAGAGTATGCATGTGGTAAGCACAAAGTAGCCTCGGATTACTTACTGGTAAGACTCGAACAAAAAATTGTAAAGATGATTAAGAAATAAAAACTATTCTTATTTTATTTTTTTTATTTATAAGAATCCTCAAATGTTTTCAACAGGTCTTCTATCAAACATTTGTTTTTAGCTATTTCTACAGCATCTCTAAAATCTTCGTTAGTATCAGCCCACCGGTCCATGAATGTACCGACAGCTTCTTTATCTACACTGGTCTCATCTTTCATCAGATTGTATAGTATTTATTTCTCTCCGCAAATATCATTTATACTAAGTAATTTGAATTAATTTGAAAATTTTATATTTAGTTGCTTTTTTGCAGTTGCTGATTTGTTATAATGTTTGACGCCAGAACATGAAAAAAAATGCTTTATCCTCACTAAAAGCAGTAACTTAGTCTTTATCAAAAATAAAAAAAAACATCTTTATTATTATAAATATTTATTCAAAATTGCAAAACGAAAAAATATTAGATCCACAGTGGATTTCTTTATTCTTTATGGCACTTTAAGTGAAACAATAAAAACAATAAACTTAGTTAACAAGTAACTTTTACAAATCACTGAGTACCTACGGAATTCTTAAATTTAACTTTATCAACCTGACGATTCATAAACTGCTGACCATCTGTGCATGTAAATAAAAGATAAGAGAGCATAATGATGTTATGAATGAATCTTGTTACAAATGTTCCATTAAAACTAGTCGCTATACCGCAAATCGACGATACAGGCGAAGTCAAGTAAAGCTACATTATTTTTCTCTGAAAGTATACTTTCAATTCAAGGGACTTAAATATAACGTCGCTAAAAACAAAGAGTCGTTACAACAGAGGACGTTTTGACTGAAATCCACTGTACTTATTATTTCTTTTTTTCCGATACGAGTAGCCTATAACACTAAAATTGACTTCTTTTATTTAAAATCGGTTCATAATTTTAATTATACCTACTTTACAGTATAAATTATATTTCTAAATGCAACATATATCCTTATGAGTTGTGTTTGTTGCTGATAGAAAATGTGTTTGTGATTTCTTAAGTATATATTTAATAACCTTTTTATTTACAAGGACTTTTCAATGTATAAAAATGGACAAATTATGGGAAGAAAGGTTTGCAGTCATCCATAAATTCTTTGACATCTTTGCATATTTGCATATCTTTCCAAATTGGACAGTTCTGAAATTATAAAAATAATATATTATTTACTTATCTGTTACTTTCTATTCAATGTTAACCCAATATGTTTTCAGATACTCAAATTTAAGTTTAAATAAAATCTAAATACATAAAAAAAATATTTATACATAAATTATTTCTATGTAAAAGCGAAAAATTTGCACACCGAGGGATATACGTACACAAATATATTGAACTAACATACCAAATATAATTTAAATGTATGTGATGATGATTTTCTCCTAACCGATTCCGGCCACGGCGGCCAATCTCGTTGAGACTAGCCAATTGCGCGGGAGATATTATAGTGCACAAGTGTACGCGCAGACACAGGTGCACTCTCTATTCCTGTCACCCTCATACTCCGGTGGGACGACTGCTCGACACGACCGGTGAGAGTTAAGGCGCAGGACCGACGGCTTGGGGGTGAAACACCCCCAACTTCCCAACTACGGGCTGTTACTGAGGCTTACTATACAGAGAGACTCAATAACTAAACAAGGCCCGACCCGGGACTCGAACCCAGAGCCTCCGGGTGTGCAGCCGTACATGCTAGCCAGTACACCACCGAGGCACTGTATATATAGCATGTACAAAAATTTAACTCGAGTTGTGGTTTAATTCAAGCGCAAATGTGATGTTAATGACTCCTTGTACAGTTTTTAGCTTTATTAATGTAATGAAGTATTATTCTTATTAAAATAATATCTTCTTATATTCTTCATAATAATAATTTTGACTTTGGCATTTATGTATATATGATTACAGTTCAAGAGATAGGGTAAAGATTGAGAGAAGGACCACCGGCTTTAGGTGCACTCCGAGACCATACTCCCCTGGTGTAGACCACCAAATTCACAGCCCTCTTAGTTCAAAACTTTCAATTAATATTTTTGTAGTCGCCAAATTTTAAATCTAAATTGGTGACTGCACTGGAAAATATAATTTTAGCTTAAAATGCGTCGAACTGCTTGGAAATATAGAGTTAAAACTTACCGAATATACAGTAACGCTAGTACAGTATACGAATATACTAGGCTGGCACAATTCATAACCCTCCTCAAATATTTTTGATAGATCTTCTTTCAAACATTTGTTTTTAGCTATTTCTACTGCATCTCTAAAATCTTCGTTAGTATCAGCCCACTTGTCCATGAATGTACCGACAGCTTCTTTATCTACACTGGTCTCATCTTTCATGAGATTGTATTTATTTAGTAAACATTTTAGTTTGTTACACTATAAAAATAACATTTTTAGAAGAAGTTATTATTACATTATATAAAGTCTACAAATTAAATATTGAATTGCACAATAACATACGTATTCCTCCATTGTTCGATTTTCTACTTTTCCGTCATCATCAAAATAAATTTTTAAACCGCATTCGTTATAATCCTCTTCTTTGAAAACTTCTGGAAGTGGGCAACAATCTAAAGGATTTTTCTAAAAAATATAAAATTAATTGATTAAGTAATATTAACAACTTTTTTTTTAAATATTTACAAGGATAAGTTTATAATTATTGTGCTTTACACGTAAAATTTAAACTTATTTTTTTAAATTATAAACCCTTTGTTTACAATATAGTCTAAAGATTCTTTCTGAAAATGAGTAAAGTTTTAAATTTGTAAATTGTATACTATATATCGTTTATCTACTACTGGAATATACATTGCTTGATATACCAGTTTAGGAGCAGGTCCACATTTTAAAGGTGGTGGTTCTGACGTCACTACCTGAAATAATAAAGTTTATCTTAAAAGCTTACATCTTCATCTGCACAAACAACTTAAAAACACTTTTTAAATATTATCTATTATTAATTTGAAATTGGCGTATTTTTTCTTAACTAGCATTGATAGAACTTATTGAGACTATACTCTAAAGTTTATGTCTTCAGCTGATATCTTGACAATACTGTTTAGGTTTTTTAGTGTTCACAGTTCCTTATTTTTCCTTTATCGAATTAAAATAATGCTTGGAGACTGAACCTTAATTGAACTTAAATTGGTGCAATCCAGCTCTCTTACTCATAGCAGAATCGTAATAGAGGAAATATTGGAAAACTATTAAAAAATCCACTACTATTAGGTTGGCTTATTGTGAAAATAAATAAAAATTCAATAAAAGAAGTATGATTTATATAAAAACAAACTTTTTGTCTAGATTTCTGATTTTTTGACTTATATATTCCTTTTATAATAATTAATAAATAAATCTAGATGTTAATGGAAAACGCGGCAAAATTAACAAATCATGAATCAAACGAAGGATACGTATGATGTTGAAATTTAAAACAATATTTCGACTAAAAATATGTTTAAAGTTTAAAATATTAATAGTATATTGTTATAAGCTTACCTGCAGGACAAGAAAACAAAGCATGGCGATTCGAAGCATGATTGTTCGAGAGGCTACTGTGGTAGAGTCATGCAGAGGCCTAGGTTTTATGCTTACCGTTTATGTCCGGCTATTATGTGCTACGGAAGCTATCAAGGTGTTGGATGACACAGATTACGGTATTTACAGATGTTTTAAAATAATATAAAACGTAATAGCTTTTAAATAGTTTTTTTAAATTATAATGAACTCTTCGATTTGCAGTTTAATGAAAAATAAATATTTTTTTATAAACTAACTAGTGATTTACCCTCGCTTCGCTCGTGTGCGTACCTACTAGGTAAGTTACATAGATATAAATAGTTTTGCAAGCGTACCTTAGGAGAAAGACTTATGCTATTGCAGATTTTACTGTATGTTTTAACCTGCTTTTACTACTATTATCAATACAGTTTTCTAGTACATTGTTTTGATGTATCTCTTGAGGTTTAGCCAGCGTTAGACATGTTGACATGCATGCGCTTGTTGCCGTTCAATGCGTGTAAGGTGTGTGTAATTTCGTAAAGTAGTGCCAATGCTTATTGAGGCTATGCTATTATTGAAAAGTTCTTTTTTTTCCTAGGTAATGTACGTCTATGTAGCTTTTATCTATTAACAAAAAACGAGATTGGTAGCTATGGTTTTTGGCAGACCTCTGTACTTTTAGCTGTAGATGGTAAGCAAATGTACCTGGAAGTAAACTGTTACATATTGATTGAATACATTTTTTCGTAGAAGAAATGGTGCCAAATAATTTACTAGTCAAAAAAATATATCATTCCATAAATCATTTAAATAAACATTGTTGGTAAATATTTTTTTTATTTCTTTTAGTTATACGTAATCGACAAGAATAGCTCAAGATATCCACTTAAGAGGGGAACCCCCTAAATAAAGTATGTATGATTGTTTTTACGATGAGTTTGCTAGTTATATAAAAATAAGTCTGTACATATAATATGTACATAACAAAAAATATTTCTACTTCTTATTTATTTTTAACCGACTTTATTATGGTTCAATATTCTGTGTCACTTTTTGAACCCTTATACTTTTCCTATATTTTTTTATCATAAAATGGCGTACAACTAATAAAAAAACAAGCAAGATTAAGATGGCATTTGACGTTTGGCTCAGTTTGTAGTGGCCATACTTTCTGTGCCGGCAGGCGCGGGTTCGAGTCCCGCTGGGGGCATTCATTTGTGTGATGACGAAGGTTTGTACTCCAGTCATGGGTGTTTATATTTATAATATGTATGTATTTAATGTTATGTATGTGTAGTGTATCAACTATCTGGTATCCATAACACAAGCCTCGTAGCTTACTATGGAACTAGATGGTGCTGTGTGTTAATGTCCCAACGTATTTATTTATTCTTTATTTGTTTACATATTAATTAAAACACAAACAGACAAACAGCGCAACAAAAACCATGTATGATTTTTCTGTGCACTGCGCATTCATACGAGGTAGTTATTTATAAATACATATTATGCATCTATTAAATGCAGATAAGAATATCACCAACTTGCGTTGATTATATTGTTTCAAAATTGCAGTGGCTCGTGTACTGCACTAGCGTAAAACTGTATGTAATACAACGGTTTATACCGGGTGTTCTAGATTATAGTTTCTTTATATATATTTAATATTTTTTTCGTTACTTATTATCTTTGAAAATATTAGGTAGGTTATTAATTAAAGAAGGAATTACATATTCCAAAACCCGTTTTACATAGACTAATATTACCTACCACAATGAATTGAACGCAGCATATATTATGTATTAGATTAAAATGTAACAAAAATATAGCTTCGCTCGTGTAGTCGTCGGCTTAATGTATTCGGAAAAAAATGACTATTTTTATTCTGAATTTCATTTAAATTCGTTATGCCTTTACAGGAGTAATGATGCAGCAACACACTTAGTAATAAATTATGACATTTTTAATTTTGTAATTATGATACTAGTGGGAAACTTCTGTGCGCAAATTCTGCTTTTTTATTTTATATAGCAATTTCTTAGAAGTAGATGAGTATCTAAATTAAAAACTCGTGCTTTTAATTCACCTTGATGTCGTACTTACAATAGGCGTTTCGGGCAGTATTTATTAGTATTGTACATACTCTGTACTAGGGTAATGCTTTTTAAATTCCTAAGCAACTAAACGATAAAACAAAATTTTATGATTTTGGTTACATTTTTATTTTTACTCCATTATTACTCACTATAAAATGAAATAGACTTACTTTTGGAACATGGTATGCTATATTTATTGGTTTCTTTTTAGTTCTATTTTATGGTAGGTGATAATTAATTATTAGTAAAACAATAATTGTCACCTACATATTTTCATCACCATATCATTATTCATCTTACATATTATATGTACCTATATACGAAAGGTACCTAGGGATGTAGGGATCTAGTCCCTAGGCAAAGCGAGGGCAAGTCATAGGGATATAATATCTGAATCTACTGAACCGATTTAGAGAGAATTTGGTAAGAAGATAGTTTGTCACCCTGGGAAGGACATAGGTTACTTTTTATCCCGGAAATCATTCCTTAAGGGGGTAAAAATGCAGATGAAAGTTTGTAGTGGGAAGCAAGCTAGGGACGAACCCGAGCGAAGCGAGGGTGAGTCGCTGGTATAGTATATATGCATGTGACGCATAACGCACACAAAGATTTTATTACATATTATAAACACTGATACACAATACAATATTTCTAGTGTTTGAACGATATATCGATGAACCAATGAATGACATTTTAGACATTGGTTAGCATAGTCATCATATTTTACATCTTTTAATTTAAAATATCTGTATTTATTATAATAAATTAAAATAAATGAATTAAAGAGGCAATAATAATGTGTCAAATAATAATTATTTTTTAATTTGATATATATATATATATATATATATATATATATATATAAATACGATGGCATTGATGGCAACATTCTGTTGGCCTATAATAATGTTAATAAACAAATGAATATCGGGTGTATATTCCATTAATATATAATAAATATTATTTTGTAAAGATTAAAAAAATATTAAGCTAACTTAATTAAATAAAGTGATTTTGTTGATTCTGTTATTGAACTATTTTAATTGGCAATTGATTGTCTCGGGTAGTTATAAAAATGTGACACTGTCCTAATATTGCTCAGTTCTTAATAAACATTTATGAAATTAGGAAAAAGAAAGTGAGTGTTGGATCGTGAAAGTAAAATAATTAGTGCAAGTGGTAAAGTGTCTTATTACAAATCGCCAACCAGAAGTTTAGTGCTAAAACATTATTGTTTGATTTTGTGTCATTTATGTGTTGAAATAAAATGATCTTTATTATTATTACAATGGAATAATATTCCAAAGTATGTAAATGTGGTATAAAATTAAAAAAAAATTAAGTACACATACTAATTGTAATTTTTGCATTTATATTACTATTTGATTTAGAAAATATTTTTATAAATTTATTGTCATCAGATTGTAGGATACTGTGATAAAAGTATTTTATGTTATTGTACTGTACAAATAACACAATTCGTTCAGTTATTTCATCAAATATCGATATATTTTTCGACATTGTCAAGCACTAGTCGATGTCAAATGGACTCACTCGACAGTTTTGTCATTTGTTCTAAATGGTATAATCCAGCCCGCTTATGATGGTTGTCAGATGTCAACAATACATAGAAATATCGACTATATTTAACATAGTTGGATAATATGACATTTTATTTTACATTTAATTAAATTTTGTGATAAATAACAATAAATGTAATAAAATAATGTATTTACAAGTGAAAAGAAATAGTGCTGCTTCAGCCGTTATAGTTTTTACACCATTTAACAGAACATTTAGTCATTTTTGAGAGATGTTTTGTTGACAAATAAGTGCTTGAGACTGACGCAAAAAACAAACGACCAAGCCTAAAATCTCCTGGTTACTGAGAAGACCGATAAAGGTACGTCCGCTTATATGTCTGGTCCAGTGGTTAATTCGTTCATGATGCATGTATATATATATATATATATATATATATATATACATATATATATATATATATATATATACTAGCTGAACCCGCGGCTTCGCTCGCGCTAAAACTACAAAAACATGCCTAGAAGGGTAGTTTCATACAAATTTTTAATTCCCTGTTTTACCCCCTTCTAGGATGAATTTAGAAAAATGCTAAAACATGTATTTATTTAATTAGTATTATACAAAGCATAATATTTATAATTACCTACTAATACTATGTCTTATGAGACAATTTAAATACTTTATAAATTGTCGCTCATTGATTATTATTATTTAAAGTCAATTTACTTTCTAATTGATATTAATAAAAATTCAATATAAAAAGTTTTATATATTTATTATGATACTTATTTTTTGATTTCTTCTTATTCAGCACTTCCATGCGTCTTTTGGGCATTTCTGAAAGAAATATGAAGGTCTTATACTGATGAATGATAGCTACAGTTTGTGATATATATACATAGTTGTAATTTAACATATAATTTATAGTAAAAAAAATCATTTCCGGAAATTTAACAATTCCATAAAAATATACTTGGTATTTTCATTCCACACTATCATACCTTTAACATAGCAATGCCAGTGCAAGTAAAAACATCGTAGGCCCTGCAAGGGTAATCTAGGTACTGCCTCAGGTCTCTGTCCACACAGTCTTTAATGGCCTTCTCTACAGCGTCTTCCCATTCCTTATGCCCCTCTACCCACTGCCTTAGATGCGCCCTGTACGCCTCTTTGTTAAGTGTATGTTTGTCTATGAGAAAACCAGACTTTTCAAATACACATTGGACGTCGTTGCACTGAAATAACAGAAAAACAAAAAAATAGTGTTTTATAAACCTTGCAATGGAGTACTTACATTGTTTATTTATTTTGAACAGCCTGAGGCTCTATTGAAACAAAATTGTGATGTTATTATAATAATAGATATTTAAGTTATTTTACGCTCTAGCTGCTGTGAAAATTTTGCATTTCAATGTAACGATGAAATTTTTTTATGGGATAACAGTCCATTTGAATTAAAAAAAAAGACTGTATGGTGCTCGCAATATCGTTTAGCAGAAATATATAACAAAAATATACCCTAAAAGTCGTATTTGAGAGAGTAACAAAGAATTTTGACGGTTAAAAAGTGTATAGGACAATGAAGAATAACTTATACAGTTAACAATGTGTTTAGACTATTAGCGTGGTTCCGATGGTGTAACTACCACATGGATTTCTATGAAAAGAACAAATGTCGTGTATCTAATTGGTTTATAGTTAACTTTCCATAAACGATAACATGTATTTGCGTTGTGATTCTTCTAAATAAAACTAGTTTAGTAGCACTCAGTAAAGGTTTTTTTAAAAAAACTTCACACTACACAGACTATAATAATGATTTATTTTCGACATTACTTTTGACTTTTATTACCTATTTCACGTTAAATATAAAAAATAGGTGAATCTTATTTATTTCCCAAATATCTATTATTATAATATAATTAACTACGCTTTTCGTATCTGTTCAGTTAAGATTAAAAGCATTTATCTTGTCACTCATTACAAAGTCTATTGTCATGTAATAAGAATCCTGTCAGAATCATTCTACCATTTTTAAATTAATTCTTGACTAATATAAATATAGACACATAGCGATGCGCCCTGATTTCGCTTAGGTATAAAGTACCACATACATCTATACTAATATTATAAAGAAGTAAAGTTTGTGTATTTGTGAGTTTGTGAGATTGTAAGTTCGTGACGTTGTAGGGGTAATCTCTGAATCTACTGAACCGATTTAGATAAAATTTGGTAAGGAGATAGTTAAGACCATGGGAAGGACATAGAATACTTTTTGTCCCGGAAATCGTCCCTTAAGGGGGTGTAAATGGCGATGAAAGTTTGTATGGGGAACCAAGTTAGGGACGAACCCGAGCGAAGCGAGGGTGTGTCACTAGTATATTATATACGGCAAAGGCAAAACATTTCAGAACCTTTTTCTCCTCGGTTTGTCAACCTTACTTTTTTATTATTTAGCAGACCTTGACGAGATTAATGATATCAATAAAAAATAGTTTGAAACAAATATTTTGTTTTATATATGAACTGAATTACTTACCGATAACAGAGCTGTACATTGTAAGAGGCTATAAATAAATCAAAATTCATCCGACATGCGCCATCTAGAGTACGTTGACAGTACTATATCAAAAACCTTCGTAGTGACTACACAACAAAGTACCAAACTTACATCGCATTTATTGAATGAATCATTTCACATTGCAAAGAAACATATTCTTATTTCGTTATTTATGAATATAGATTTTATCTATACATATAATAAAATTCTGAGTCAAATCAGTACATTAAATATTTTTTGGAAAATCTTATTGAAATAGTCATTATTATTAAAACTGAGGCCGAATCCATAGTTTTTAGAAATTTTGTCTGTCTGTCTGTCTGCCTGAGAACGCTTCACGGGGAAACCATTTGACGTATTTTAATAAAATTTGGTATGATGATAGCTGGTTATCCGAATCAACTTTTATAACGGGAAAATATTTCATCTCTGAGAAATCTATACTAAACGTTAAAATGTACCTAGGGACGAAACCTAGCGGAGAAGAGTGAGACTCTAGTTATATATTTAAACTTTGGCAGTATTTTATCTAAACGCGAAAATATATTAAAACTCAATTCTGAATAACAAAATAGTCAAATACTATACTGTACTACTTGCGTGGTGGATTACGGCCTGATCCCCTTCGTATTGAAGGGAAGCCGGTGCCCAGCAGTGGGACGTTAAAAAGGGCTGAATACATGGAAGCTTACAATGGAAGTGAATGGTGTTGTGTGTTTTCATATCCCAACATATTTAGATACTCGTATATTATATTCTAAGTATATCGATACAATTTTTTTATTTAATCATAAAAATTAATGACTTTCATAGAATATTTAGTAGCTTATTTATGATAAATTAATTATCAAAAACTTTTGTAATACACTTACCGGCCCAGATTGTCTTGGATTAGAACAGTCAGATAACGGTTTAGCGTCACCTAACTCTGGAATATCGCAGCACGTTGAAATGGGTTTCTGTAAAGACCCATAAATAATTTAATATATTATCTATACTATAATAAAGCAATAACTTAGCAAAATCTGTACATGAAATATTTTTTTAAAAACAATGACAATATAGATCCCAAAACAATAGTTATGAAATTAGTTTTATTAGTTATGAAAATGTTGTCTGTTTGTCTGTATATCTTTTTATGTATGCACGTTTCACGCAAAAATTAATGAACCGATTTCAATGAAATTTGGTGAAGACTTCACCAAAACTTCACCGTGAAGTGACAACTTATTACACTCGGGTCAATATTTAGGATACCTTTCACTTCATGAAAATCTTTCTTTCCCACGGGAAAACACAATAACCGGTACAATATACTTAATACTTATATTGTGACTTATTATATACTCGTACATATACGTAGCTTTATGATACGTATTAATAATAATGTGTTTCTCTTATAACATAGGTACATATATATTCATTAAACAATTGTGAAATTGCAGAGACTACGAAAGCTTACGAAGCTTTTATATGGCATATATTAATAAGCAGGTGCTTTTTTTTTAAATAAAATGTATGGCGGGTATTCGTACTTTATTAGTTTACTTAACACATTCTCAAAAGAGCTTGGAAAAGTCTATTTGAATAATGTATATTTAGATTTTGACATTGATGTAAAATTTGGCGGATTTTTGATTTACAATATTTAACTAATTGTTAAAATCGAGGTGTATTATTATATAGCATACCAAGTCTGTGTAAAACCGCATATTAAGCAGCAGATCCTAATATGTTCAGCTCGTGTTTATTAATTCGCTCTATTAAATATAATGATAATTATCTCCTTACGCGTCAGATGATATATACAGCAATAGTTTGCAGCACTTATCTATACATGTAGAGAATAAAATTCTAACTGAATCGAATATGAACATTAAATATTTTTTTGGAAAAAACTACTTTTGATGAAATTTGGTATGATGATAGCTGGCTATCCGGGTCGATGTAGGATATTTTTACTGCGGAAAAATATCTCATCGCTCAGAAAGCTACACTAAACGTTAAAACTTAACTAGGGATGAACTCGAGAAGTCGTTAGTTTTGAAATACAATTATTATTTAACCGAATATAGTACGTACCAAAGTTGTTCCTCTTGATCGCAGAGACAAGAACTCATTTGCGTTAACAACCTGTGAAATTATTATATTTTATTATCTTCTTTACGTGAAATAAATTGTAAGGAATGATGGAAGTTTGTATACTAATATGTATTGATTGTTTGGGCAAAGTAAAAACTAAAGTTATTCGACAGGGCTGGACGGACTTGGTTTATTATGTCTGTCCGTCTGTTTGTAATGTAAATAAAATTTTATGTTAAATGTAAAATTTTTTTTATATATATATGTATATATATTTGGTAGTACTTAATACTACCAAAGGATATTTAAAACTTGTCATTTTTAAATGTGAGAAAAGTTGCCAATGGAAAACGACATCCGTACATAGCTCGTCGGAGTACTATTATAAACGGCTGGACGAATTTTGATGATATTTAATACACAAATAGATTATAACCTGGAGTAACAGGTCTATTGCACATAGGGACATGCCCAAGCGACGCAAGTGTAAAAATTATAAAGTCTTAATACAAAAATCATGTCACCTGGTTCTTATATCTTGTTTCATTATATATTTCAAAAATTAAAAAGTATGAGTATGATCACAAGTCTTACTTAGTTGTATATACCTAATATTATTTATAATATTTTTATCATCTCATAATTATATCGGTGTGCAAAGATAACGTTCTTATGGGACTTACTTTACTTTATTAATATACTTGTTGAGTAAACGTTTTTTAAGAAATGAAATTATCCAATGTTTTTGTAACTATGCCAAGTAAAACAAAGGCAGTAGATTTTAAAGTAGGTTAATGTATGAGCGGATAGACTCAAAGTGTAGTGGGACGACTCTTCAACATAACCGATGAAGGATTATACGCAGCAGCAAAAGCTTTAAATACTCTCCGAGTCGCGGGAATATAAACACAGCGAACTTTGTCAGAAAAACTTACTAACTATATTTGCTGTGACCCGGGAGCCGAACCCAGAACCTTGGGGTCTACAACCGTACTTGCTAGCCACTACACCCACTGGAGAGTAGAGCAACAACTGGGTACAATATTATTAAAAATACAAATAAGTGTTAGTGTTTGTTAAATAAGTAAACATTAAAGTAATTATTACGTGATTTTCAATGAAATTTCATCTACATAAGAAATTCATGTAAGCCACCTTTACAATCCAAATGTACTTACCACAACAAATAAAACGACTAAAGATATTCGAAGCATTTTGCTTACTTGTCCTATTTCAACAAACTAAGGGTGTCCGATGATCTTTGCAAATAAACAGAAAAAAATACGTCTGCACAATTATATTCATATATATATCGTGATCGATTGTAAACAAGTGTATCTTCAAGTCAGAGGTCGCGTAAAAGTACACAGATTGAGAACGATAGTAGAAGTAGCATGTATGTATGTAAGATAACAAAAAATACAGTTTAAGAATGCTAAGGAAAATTAATATGTTTAATCTTAATCTAAGGGGCCTTTTTCAAACCAAGTTTATACATTTATGGATTTATAAATCATACTTAATTTATTTTGATATTATAAATGTAATAGTATGTTTTTTTGGATTAGAACAAACAAATGAAAGTAGAACACTTTCATGCAGCTACATAGTAAAGGACAACATTATTTTCTTTTATAATACGGTTTTTTATAACTCCCGACGCAAAAACGGGGTGTTATAAGTCTGACACGTCTGTGTGTGTGTCTGTCTGTGGCATTCTAGCTCCCGAACGGAGGAAACGATTTTGATTTTATTTATTTTTTGTTTGTAAGGTGAATTGGTCGGGAGTGTTCTTATCTATGTTTGATAAAAATCGGTCCAAGATGGTCGGGGGTTTTTTAAATTTTTATTTTATCACTTCGCACAATTTACTAATAAGCAGCTAAAGTACCTATATTGAATATGATATTTCTTTAGCCATGAGTAATACTCATTTATACTTATAAACATAATATTATTAAGATTTATTTTATTTAATAATATAGATTTACATTGTAAATATAAAAAAAAATAAAAAAAGATATTAAAGAATAAAAAAAAATTGCCATTTCTGCTTATTTTTATTTCGTATTTTCTACTCTATGTTACGAGGCAAACGCTATAATATGACGCGAATAAATTTCATATTAAATGACTTTAATAATTAAGTCCATTAGTTATAAGTGATATATCTTTATAAAGAATTGTTATTTACATTGTTATTACTTCTTGGATGATTAAAAATAAACTTTATTTTGAAAATATATAGAAATCTATCAATATAATAGGTTTTAAGAATATTATGTAATATTTAGTAGCTAATTTGTCCTCTTCATTTACCACGTTGTAATCAACTGAAAGGCCATAAACAAACATTTGAATTGAATTAGTTTCAAGTTTAGTTAATTAACTCTATTTAGTTCGCGCTATGTATATTGAATATATGTACATCGTACATATTAAATTAGAGTCAATAAGTATTATTTTTACGTGTTGCCTTAGTTTGTGTTTATATTCGATGATCAATTATAAAATTTTTGACTCTAGGCTTTATAAGTTTGACCGCTATGTGTGAGTATGTGTATGTGTGTGTGTGTGTGTGTGTGTGTGTGTGTGTGTGTATGAGTCTGTTTGGGGCACCGTAGCTTTTAAACGGGTAAATCGATTTGGATGCCGTTTTTTTTATTTGAAAGCAGATTTTCTAGTGAAGGTTCTTAGACAGTCTAGTTCTTAGTCTAGTTCTATCAAAATCGGTTCAACCGTTTTGGTGTCGGGGCTATTGCCAATAATTAGATGGAGATATTTATCTAATCATATCCGTGGGCATACATATTTGTCAATTAATATTCATTAAGTATTACAAGATGACTCTTTATAACCCTTATTGTTTATAGAAAACAAAAATAACTTCAAACGAAATCTCTAAACGTTATGTCATGTTTTAAGAATAAGTCATTCCCCCTTGTCTGGGAGTAACTTTGTTATATCTGTAACAATATATTGTATCAAAATATGACAAAGAGAAAATTCCAAGTAAAGAAACAATTACTGTTTTAGATTTTTTTGTTATTATATTTTAAGACAATATTTTAAAATATGAATATCTAATAGGTAAATATAATATGTATTTTACGTATCGAAATATATTAGATTTCCTTTGCATCGGCTGGCACCGACTTCGAAAATATCTAATTAGGTATCTATTCTGAATGAAAACCCCCGTTTAGTTATTTTTTACATTGTACTGCCTAGAAGTCGGTTTTTTTTAGTTTTAATTTAATGCTAAAATTTCTACTAAAATGTTATTTTATTACAATATTCAACACTTTTGACGCTTGTATTATGTATCGTATTAAGCTAGTGAACACTATAAGATGCATTAACTAGATAGAACGTTAAAAGTTCATTGATTTGTATCGGCATCTGTCTGGGCAAAAGCCATTAATGTGGATATGGCTTTTAAATACAATGTACATTTGGTTTCTACGGTTAAGAATAGATAAACACTTTTAAAAATATTAGATTTTATTGAGTTTAGCTTCAATAGGTATACGAAAAATATTATATTTACTACGTAAAAATAAAACGGTAAGGCCTACGAAAGTAATAGAATTAATGTGTGAAGAAAGAATCTTATATACTAAAAATAAAACACATATTTTTAACCGACTTCCAAAAAGGAGAAGGTTCTCAATTCGTCGGATTTTTTTTTATGTATGTTCACCGATTACTCGTACACGCCTGAACCGATTTAGATTTTTTTTGTTTCAAGGGGTATACTTCCCAGGTGGTCCCATATAAATTGTATCGAAATCGGTCGAGCGGTTTTTTTAATGAAATCAACAATAAAAACTTTTTTAAAATATATTGTTTAATCGTATATGTTATTAAAAAACTTTCTTCTTTAAAAATACCTGCTTATTACGTCTACACTAAAAATGGAAAAATAAAAACTTAACAAAAACCTACTTCCAGGCACTAAAATGTAAAAAATAACTAAACGGGGGTTTTTATTTAGAATAGATACCTAATCGGATATTTTAGAAGTCGGTGCCAGCCGACAATATTTTAAGATATGAATAATGTCTAATAGGTAAATATGTACATATTTTACGTATCGAAATATATTAGATTTGCTTTGCATCGGATACAGTACAGATTATGGTACAGATTCGGCTTAGTTACAATTTTATTATATGTATAGATAAGTCATAGGTATTATAAATTAATACGATTGCTAACTACAATGTTGTTTTTGAATTCAATAAGATTAATTATATTGCTGACAATTATGTATTGTTCATCTATACTAATATTATAAAGAGGTAAAGTTTGTGACGTTGTAGGAACCGATTTAGATGAAATTTGGTAAGAAGATAGTTTGAGACACTGAGCAGGACAAAGGATAGTCTTTATCCCGAAAATTATCCCTTAAGGGGGTGAAAATGGGGATGAAAGTTCGTATGGGGAATCAAGCTAGGGATGAACCCGAGCGAAGCGAGGGTGAGTCTTACTTACTAGTACTTGATATGTATGCTGCTGCTAGAGTGAAATGATTTTTAATGGTTTTACAAGTATAATAAAAAAATGAATTGATCTATAGTTATTATAAATAAAACTATCTTTTTTGATTATTTCGCGGATTTATTTTGATTTTTGGTTCCGACGTTTCGGAGATGATGGTGATGATAATGACTGTCGACATACCACATAAATACATACATGTGTACATAAGTGTTAGAGGATAGAATATTGGCGATCTGAAGTTGAAAAAAAATATAACAGGCTATTATAAAAATATTTCTAAATATTCTGTTAGTCTGGTCTTGTTTGTTTGTCTGGCTTATTTTTTATACGGTATTTAGAAATTATAAAGGAAGTACACAAATTTTATTCAAGCTCAATATTATATATGTTTAAAATTTTAATCCTTTCTCCACGAGTTTCTGATATTATTTGAATAAACCGCTTGTAGTATAGTGTGGAGCGTATCGCGAAACGTTTATCGCCTTATCTCGTATGAAAACAAAGCATAAGTGCATACGCCAAAGCTCTAGCGGAAGTAGCTTTTTAAAAATTTATAACATATTTTAAAGTTCCTATGAATAGCTTTGCTGTCAGCTCAAATTAAAGATATCTTAATAAAAGGTGAGTATATTATTTTTATCATATTTTCGCCGAAAAATTTGTTATAATAATTTTGTCGATTAATTTTACTGTTTCATAAACATAATAGCAGGCCAAATACAGCAGTAATATTAAGTTAGAAAAAATCCTAAAATATATTTATAACGACCATATTGCATAATAATGTTTAACTTTACAAGAAATTTTACAGTATGTTTTACGACGAGCATTAATTATTATTGACTTCAATAAAGATGGCGAAAGATGGCGCTGCCTGTATGTAATTCTCCCGCCAAGCAACAATGATTGCATGGGTTTCGGTTTGAAGGAAAAGGTAACCAGCGCAATTACAGGAAAGAGGCATATCATCTTAGTCCTCAAAGTAACGACGCACCTGCAGTTCTGTACTTTTGTCCCATGAAACCTAAGTGCATGAACCGTAGGTGTTATGGGCGACAGGTACCGTCAGGTGGCTGTCTGCTCATTTGTCATTGAATACCATAAAAAAACGAAAACCTGTGGCATTAACTTTAGTATGGTATACTATGTATGAACTTTTTTTGTATGTCATATGTATTTTTGTTAAAACCGTAACATAAAACACTATACGCAAATGCTAGTACTACGTAAATCTTTAAGCGTAAAGTTCTCACTGCTTACAAAACAGTGATGCAAAAGCAGCTTACCATACAATTTTGTTAGCATTTACTAGAAGTAGGATTATATCCTTTATTTATTTTATTTTATCTCTCATGCAGAATAGACCTACATGCTCATAATAACAACAACGTAACTAACAAAATCACAGTTAAAGTATGTATATAAATATAAATAAAGCTTGTCATTGGATAAATCCTTAGAATTTAAGCTTATGTAATCTGTTTAAGCTAGTAAAATGTGTAAATAAAGGAAAAGTGATATTTGGTAAGTTTATTTCTTTCCTTATAAGTGATAGAAGCCTTTTTTTAAATATTTTTTATATATCATACTTAATGGCCTCCTAGGGTTGCTACGTAGGGAGCCAAAGCCCAAAATTCCAGATGATGATAATCTGTTTATAAGTACATATAAATCCTTTATATAATTCGAACTCCCAACCGATGATGTA